AGTCTTGTCACCTGTCTGTCGGTTCATTGTGCTGCATCCCTCAGCCTGTGTGGTGTCCTGTCATCCTGGTGTACATTTGGATTTTTGCCTGAGCCCTTCGTCAACTTGCCTTCCAATCCTCACAGAAAGAACCGACCTAACACCCAGCCTTCAGGCAAATTTATTTTGAAATTGAACTTTAAAGAAATGTTGGAGAAGGTGCAGCAGGAATGAAGTCAGCTGGCCAATCTGTCTGCCCTTCTCTCAAGAGAACTGGTTCCTGGTTGCTTTTTTGCTTGCCCTCCCACCCCTGTTGCTCCTGGGTCTGCAGAGCCTTCTGAGTCGGTTCCTGAGGTGGTGGTTCCACAGTCGGTGGTTCCAGTGGTGGTCCCAGAGTCGGCGTTTCCGGTGGTGGTCCCAGAATCGGCAGTTCCGGTGGTGGTCCCACAGACGTTGGTCCTTGGGTTCGTGGCTCGGCTGCCGGCCCCTCCATATCATCTGGGTCAGTTGCCGTTGCCTCCACGTTCCCCATCTCCTCCTCATCGCCTGGGTCGTCCCCCATCGCCTCCTCATTGCCTGGATCGTTCCTCATTGCCTGGGTCGTCCCCCATCGCCAGGACGCCAGGGCTAGAATCACCTGCTTCTAGCCCCGCCCACGCTCAGCCGTTCCCTATTGTGTCTTCCCAGGTGTTTCTGATTTTCTCTTAATTTGTTTGCTTTGTATTCTAAGTCTTGTCACCTGTCTTTGTCAGTTCATTGTGCTGCCTCCCTCAGCCTGTGTGGAGTCTTGTTTGTTCCTCCTGAGATCCTTGTAAGGTTTTTGCTGCTCCAGCAGCCCACCTTTTGTTAAAATAAACTTTTTGTTTCATTTGGATTTTTGCCTGAGCCCTGGGTCGTTCTACCAGCCAATCCTCACTGGAAGGAGAGAGATCATATTTCTCCAGTTTTAGCTTCTCTCCACTGTCTCCCAAATCCAGAACAGAATTTAAAATATTACTCCTGTAAGGGTCACCTCGAGTGAAGAAACAAGATTTACTGCCTCGAAGCAGGCCTCGGACAGGTCTGATGAAAGGACAGGAACTCTGTCACAAACTGAACTCTATTKAGGCCATGACAGGTCATTCCAACAGTGGAAGAGAACCCCTCAGTTCTCTTAATCAGATAATGGACAGAACAATCTCTTCTGTTCGTGATTCATTTGTTGTTTAA